ACCTCAACTGTATTTGGTGATTGTGTATTGAGTGGTTAGGTGTTGGTGTTTGAGAGTTCATTCCTCATTCACTTCTCTTAGTCACTTAGCTGTTACCAAGCACATCACCATTCTTACCCATTGGGTTCTCAATCAGCAGATAGTCATAGAGACTAATGCCTTCAACTACATGATTACCACTATTCTTTCCATCTATTTTGAAGATAGCAAAATTCACCTCATTGCTTTCTGCTCCTAGAGCCTCCACAATGCTGAACTCAACTATGATACATATGACAAAGAGCTTTTGGCCATCTTTGAAGCTTTTAAACATTGATGCCATTATCTTGAAGGCTCTATGGACTCTATCAATGTGGTGACAGACCATAAGAATCTTGAATACTTTGCCACTACTAAGATTCTCACCCACCAACAAGTCTATTGGTTCAAATACCTCTCTCAATTCAATCTAGTAATCCAGTTCTGCCTGGAGAAACTTGGTAGAAAACTAGATGCACTCACTAGATGATGGGATGTCTATCCTAAAGAGAGAGATAGCCAATATGCCTAAGTCAATTTCCACAATTTCTGACCTGTCTTCATCTAAGAACAACTCTGCATGTCACTCTGCAACCTATATCAAAGGCTCTACTCTCTAAGCTAGTGCTATCATGAATATTGACAAACTCTATATTGACATCAAACAAGCATAATCCTCTGACTCTATGGCTTCCAATGGTCTCTGCCAGGCCAAATCAGTTTCTGAATCCTCTCTCTCTCAGTGGTCCATTAGTGAATCTGGCATTCTTTGCTTTGAAGGTCACATATATGTTTTGGACTCTAATGATCTCTGTCTTTATATACTGCAGAACAATTATGACCACATTCTGACAGGCTATTTTGGTCAAAACCAGACATTAGAGCTAGTCTGATAGAATTACACTTCAACAAAGATGCATGAATATGTTTGACACTATATCAAGTCCTGCACAGTTTGTGGATGTAACAAGACACCCAGATATCATCTCTATGGGTTGCTTAAGCCTCTACTGGTCTCCAAATGGCCATGAGATTCCATCTCTATGGATTTTATTGAACAGCTTCCAGACTCTAATAGATTGACTGCCATTCTAATAGTTATTGACCATGTTAGCAAGCAAGCCATCTTCATCCCCACTCATGACACTATTAACTCTGTGGAGCTTATCCAACTTTTTGTTATTCATATTTTCTCCAAACATAGAGTACCCAGTCATATCATCTCTGACTATAGCTTCAAATTTGTTTTTCTGTTCACCTATTGACATGCCCTCTGCATGTCCAGATGTGTAATTTTGTGAATTATGACAATGCCTTGACTGTATTACAGTCTACTATGCATACAATAAAGAATATAGCTAGAGTGCAGTGAAATAGGACCTGTATGACAACTGGCTTGAATGATGATTGGTGGAGAGCATGGTCTAGCAGCAGGATAATACTGGGGGGAAGGGTCATACTGTGCATAAGGTCCCAGCACTTGACACTAAATGTGCTAATACAAGTACAGAAAGACCCACTAAAATTAAAGAGCATATGATCAAAATATGATTAGAGCTTTGTGCATAACTTTGTGGCACACTGATCAATGATGCATAGATATTGATTGGCCAAGAGACATGTTCTAGAACAGAGAATTGGTGCACAATGAGATAAACCCAAATATTGGAATTATTGGCCTAGAAATGAGAAGATTAAGTGAAAGAAATGACCAGAAATAACCTCAAGAGTCTGAAACAACTCCTGCACATAGATTAATTGCCCTGAGGAGATAAGAGAGTGAAGATACCAGTGGCTAGGCCACTAAAAGAGCTAACTGGTGTCAGGTTGCATAGAAACAAAAGGCAGTCCTGATCTGGAGTGGAATATGCCTGTCAGACTGTGACATGCATACAAATGATACACGAGAGACTCTGGAACAGAGTTTCATACATTGAAACTACTGTATTAGAGGTCTCTTAGTAAGTACAGTAGTAGACTATTCAAGTACTATATTGTAAGAGTAGTAGACAAGTTTACAACCTTCTATAGTTGCAGTGTATTAGGCATGAAGGCCTTCTGCTCCAGCTCTGAGTTTGTGTTTGTAACTTCAGATGAGAGAATAGACTGATTATTGATATAATTAAGAGAGACCTGAGAACTGTGTGAAGCACAAGAGCTTGCATGAGACTTTAGTTCAATTTAATAAAAGGTTTTGAATTGCACTCTAGCCTGAGAATAAGAGAGCAGTATCTGAAGGGTGCTCTTTTGAGATTTTGAGGTATTTGTGATGTGAGGTGCTACAGATGATAGAGATTCAAACCCTTTGGATCTGTGGATAGGGTTTTCTTGTGTTTTATATCTCTGGATCACATAGGTTTGAATTCTGTGGGTCTATGATCAGTTTAGAAACTCATGCACAGAGGTTTGAATCTTTTGGCACTTGTAAATGAGTTTGCAAGGGTTTCTGCCTAGAGCATGAATCTTTGAGTCATGTATTATGTTTGTTAGGGATTTTGAGTTGATATAAGCAGTGCTTGGGACTATTGAGAGTTTCGTGGGAGTGTTTCAATATATTGTATTGAGCTACAGTATTCTTTGCTTTGAGGTCCAACAACATTTATTGCCACATTTTGTTTTTATAAAAAAAAAGCTTTGAGACTTAGAGAGATCTGAGACTGTTATACATATGCTATTGCTATTTATGTGCAGTGGATTCATTGAAGAAGACAATTATACTTGCTATAACTACTCTTATTATATTACAACTTCCCAACAAACTAAGAGTATTGTGTGTGTGTTGGTGTAGGTGTGATCAGTGGATAGCACTCTGCTGTATCTGTTTTCACCTCACATGCACACAAAACCTTTTTATTATGCTCTAGCTATAGCCCTCAACAAGGTGCTTCACTTCACTTCTGGTTACCATCTGAAGGCTGACAGACAAACTAAATATGCAAACCAAACCCTGGAGTAATATATCTGCATCTACTCTGATACCTCTAATTTATACATCCCATAGAGTTATAACAATGCATTATACATTGACAAGGACTGCTAGAAGGCCACAATGGATATTGAATATAGAATGCATATGCTGAAGCACATATGGGACCTAGTTGATCCTCCACTAGATGTGAACATTATGAATTGCAAATGAGTTTATAGAATGAAATGAGATGAAGATGAAAACTGGCTCAAGGACAAGGTGAGACTTGTTGGAAAGAGGTACATTCAACAGCTCAGCCTGAACTACAATGACACTTGGGCTGCTATAACTTGTCTTGAGTTTGTCTGCATGTCAGTGGCTGTTGCAGTGAAACTCAATCTTCACCTCTGGCAAGTGGATTTTGTCTTGGCATATCTGAACAGTGAAACTGGGAAGAACATTTATATGTGCCAGCCTCCTAGATATGTCATCAAGAGTCAGAAGGATAAGATATGTAAGCTTGTTTACACTATCTATGAAACTATGCAAGAAGGTCATGACTGATTCAAGATGCTTGGAAAGATGTATGATGAACTTGGATACCAAACATCCCATGCAGACTCTTGTGTTCAGACAATAGGCTCACAAGGTGAGGATTATACTATTATAGATATATACACAGACAATGTGTGGAGAGTGTCATCTAGTGCCATGGAAGCAAGTCATTGAAAGAAGAAGCTTGAAGAAAAATGAGAGCTTAATGATGTGGGGGAGAATCACTACTTCCTGGGGATGAAGATTGATCAGGATCTTGAAGCAGGCATGATATTGTTCTCCCAATATACTGAGAGAACATCATATTGAATTTTGATCTCAACTATCTCACTCTGTGATCCACCTCATTGCCCATTGGAGTTATCCTTAATAACTCACAGTCACCAGAGACCCAGGCTGAGAAGGATGATATGGCCAGGTTTCCATACTGCTGACTTTTGGGTCATATGATATGGAGACAGCTTGCAACTTGCCCAGACCTATGCTATCCAGTGAGCTTACTATCTTGCTTCTAAAGTAATCCTGGCCCTGCACATTGAAAAGTGTTGCTACACATTATAGGTTATATAAAGAGCACTATGGATTATGGTATTCTGTTCTCACATGGTGAACCATTGACTCCCATTAGATTTGTGGATGCCAATTATAGAGGTTGTCAAGACACTGTATGTTCCACCTTTGGCTATGTGTTCACTATGGCTGGGGCACCCATTTTCTGGAGCTTAAAACATCAGGCTACAGTTGCTCTCTCCACTATCAAGGCAGAATATATTTTGCTGACACATGCAGCACAGCAGATGATGTGGATAATGTCCTGGATGGAAGAGGTCCAACTCCCACAGCTGTGGCTGGCTGTGCTCTATGGTGACAACCAAGAGGCCATGGCTCTTATGAAGAATACTCATTCTCATCACAAGGTCAAACATATTTGGATTCATGAACATTTCATTCAAGATCTTGTCAGGGATGGTGACTTGTGCATAGACTTCATCCATGGGTACACAAACCCTGCTGACATGTTCATGAAGCCATTACTCTGTAATGTTCACCATGGCCACTTGGAGAGCCTCACTATTGTACTGTTGTAATGGTATGGATATGGGGGAGTGTTGCAGGATATCCATATCGTATACCCATTACCTTTTCTTCAATCTTACTATATATATACTTACTTACCTCCTGTTTGTTCTCAATCACTGTATAGTCCAGCTGTCATTACCCAGGTATCTCAGTCATTTCACCTTCGCTGTGCCCGACTGAGGTATGTATACCTTACTGTGTCTGATACTTACTTACTCATGCTCGTTCATAGATCTTATCTATATTCTTCTGTTAAAAGATCCAACACACCCATGGATCTCAGTTGGCGTTGTCGAGCAAACTCTTGCTCAATGATGTCATCAGAGAAGTCATGAATCGACGTCCGGTGAGATGAGCGAGACGAGCGGATCGATCTGGCCACAGAGGGGGGGATCGAGTGAGGAGGAGAGTGGGGATCAGAAAATGTCGCAGGATGCAGGTGTCTGATGATGGACATCTCTAATGCCGGCGTGCCTTCAGGCAGCATGATGATGCCTGATAGACGATATCTGGCATTACAGTGCGAGGGAAGTGGCAGCACATCGGCCGTAGACAATAGATTTGCATCCCTAGGGTTGGATGCGAGCACAGAAGTAGTGGTCGGGGGTAATGGGATGTGCCCCGACAATGAGGGCGTATAGATAGGTAGCGGTTGGTAACTCTCGACGTCGTGTCAAGAATCAGGACTTGTAGGTGGTCGCTGTAAGGCCGCAGAGCTCTCCGATGCTGATAAGTGGACCATCGAAGAGAGAAATCGTTTCGAAAAATAGATCTGTAAGCGTTAGTCTACTGTGGTTCTCCACAGCACAATACACAATTGAAGATGTGTAAAAAAGTGTAAAGAGTACGACACCTTACGAGGTCCGTTGACCGGAGAAATACACATGCAAACAGGGTGTATTGAACAGAGATGGTCCAGTAGACACTAGGTAAGGCAGACGTACAAGATGGCCGTAAAAAGTTAACAGATATCCCGATAAATAACCAATGAAAACTACCATGTGTAACACCGTTAGTAAGCAAGGATATAAAGCGTAATACGGATCCCTTACATTCATGATGCACTCACCTGGGTGGAAGACCGTTGTTATTGGTCGACCAGGAGGTTTCTGGCGTTGTGGATGGAGATACCGTCGTAGGGACGTGAAACCAATGCCATTGCATCTCACTACCTGAATGGGATGGCAATCTGGGTCCGTTGTAACGAATGTTGGCAATTCGAAAGCGGGCGGTACTTTGGATCCAATGGCAGAGTGATTCAACAGCATAGGATGGTTACTCTTATGCCCAAGCAGTTTTCAATCAGCGATCCGCTTCTGATACACGAATCTCAGTCTATTTAGTCATTCTTTAGACTGTTCCATCTGTGTGTCATTCGATATTATTTACGGAATACAAGTAGTCAGTACCAAATAGCCCATGACACTACATGATGCGACATCCGTTGTAGGCAGCGCGATCGTATCATAAGGTGAATGTCGGAAGTTCGTCTTTTACTGCCGCGGATCCTTTTGGACCTAAAGGACGATGAAACATGACATCAGACCGTTCATCAGCAACCGAAGGCCCGATATCCGTGTCAGAGACACGTCGAGGATCGAAATGCTCCTACTATTCATGGAGCTATCTGTCTTGTTCAGCAACAACGCGTAGGTGCTCTGTCACGTTCAAACAGCTGATAGGTCCTCAGAGGTAATGATTGCATTGAACAGCAAAACTCGACAGACATGTGTATGTATAGAAGTGGCTGTCTGGGTGTCAGACAAGAGTATGAAGAGCAGATGCTGGAACGCACAGACGATATGATTACCGCGCCATCCGGACGATTGAGATAGAGTAGCGAACTAGAGAAGACCAGTAAGATGCTCTACAGAGGAAAGCGAGGCTCACGCGCTGCAAAAACTTCAACGAGGACCAGAGTGTACGATGACGAGCGGACAACAGGTTTGTTGCGCTTCTTTAACACAGTAACCTATGCCAATTAATGGGATAGATACGATATGTCTTAACCCGGACCATATCTTATTGTGTACATAATGTCTGGGACTGGCATCCACTGTGTGGACACTGCTGTGCAGTGCCGCCTAGTACCTACATATCTACCTACCCCAACTGGGGTCGCGGTCGTCACAAATTCTCACCTATAGACAAAGTTATCCAACTGCGCTCTTCCTTCAGTTCGAATGGTTCTGATCTAGCCAATGAAGGGACGGTACAAGATTCTGGCTCAGTAATGTTATAAATGGGAATCGCTCGAGAATGCTTCTTTAATTCCATCGAAACTCCCAATCCAACTGCTTGAGAGAATCAATTTCCCCGAGTGAGCATACTAGACGCTCGCATGACTATCCGCTTCAGTCCTTCAACTGGGCGGAAATCAACTGGCACGAAGGACAGGCCTCGTCCATCCCAGAAAATGCATCGTTTTCCCCGGAGCATCACCAGTTAGTTCATTAGCATGTGATATTTCAGAATCAGGGATGAATGTCGCTTAGTGCTCGAACTGGAACATGCTTGGAGCGTTGGCATGGACCGGATCCTCTGTGTCCTTTAGGCGGGATTACCATACTTCTCCGGTTGTCTGTAGCTAGATCTGCGACTACCACCAGCATTTCCCCATTCTCCTCTCGGACCTAGCGATATGGTTCCAATGCTTGTAGTAGAATGGATGCCTTAGGTAAGTAGGCCGAGACACGATAGGGAATAGGTAGTCTCAGTAGGATGAGGCGAATGGGGCCACTGTTATCATCTGTTATATAAAGAGTCGTGACATCCCACAGTACAGAGACATCGCGCTCACCTTACAGCATGGACACCCAATCTGATGTAGTGTTCCGCATTCCTGACACTCTTACTTACTGGCCCTGGCCTCGCAGGATTAATCCTCATCATGAGGAAGTAAAGGCTGCGTCGGACGCTTGGTTTCGGTCCTTCAAAGCGTTCGGGCAAGAAGCTCAACGGTAGGTTCCCAACTACCTCCGTTTGTCCTTGTTCATTGTGTATTTCCAGAGCATATGAGCGCTGTGATTCTAGTATGATATTTCCTCTAAAGTCACAGCATATCGTGATTATTGACGCCGACCCAAGGTTTGTTGGCTTCACTAACATACTCGACAGCAACGAAGGGTACGCAGTTCGATTCCTGGTCCATTTACTTCTAATTCCCTTTCATAGAACATCTCCGCACTGGATGCGACATGATGAACCTTCTATTTACTTTTGATGAGTATACTGACAATAAACCGCCCGAAATTGTCCGTCAATACGCAGATATCGTTATGGACGCTATGAGACACCCTTACAAACCGCGACCTACTGACGAAATGGTTCTTGGGGTCGTTGCACAGGAGTACGAGTATTTTACTTGCATAACAAGGTGGTTCTGACTATCAACTACAGATTCTGGGCTCTTGCTGTAAAGTCGGCCAGCAGTACCTCTCAGAAGCACTTTATTGAAGGCTTTGAGAATTATGTGGCAGCTGTGGTCCAAGAAGCGGAGGAGCGGGAATGCCATCATATTCGGAATGTCGAAGATTACTTTGATATTCGTCGTCAGACTGTCGGTATCTACCCGGCGCACGCACTGATAGAGCTCGGCTACGACTTGCCTGACGAGGTGTTCAACCACCCAACGGTCGTTGCCCTGCGACGTCTAGGCGTCGATATGTTCATCTTGGATAATGTGGGGGTTTCTGTATTTCATCTAGTTGAGATATTCACGTTTCGTAGGACCTTGCTTCGTATAATAAGGAACAAGCGCTGGAAGAGTGCCCTCATAACATTCTGATCTGTGTTATGAACGAGCTGAAATGTGACCTCCATGCCGCACTCTCCTGGGTGGAAGACTGTTATCGGTCAACCAGGAACAAGTTTCTGATGCTGTGGACGGAGATACCATCATGGGGACCTGAGACCGACGCCATTGCAGCTCTCTACTTGCATGGGATCGCGAACTGGGTCCGGGGTAATGAATGTTGGAATTTCGAATGTGGGCGGTACTTTGGATCCAATGGCAGAGCGATTCAACAGCATAGGATGGTTACTCTTATGCCCAAGCAGTTTTCGATCAGCGATCCGCTTCTAATACACGAATCTCAGTCCATTTAGTCGTTCCTTAGACTATTTCATTCGTGCTTCTTGTTTACGAAATAGTAACAGCTAGCATCAAATCACCCAGAATCAAATACGACATTACATGATGCGACATCCTATCCAAGAGACGTATCCCTTTGTAGGCTGCGCGATCGTATCCTAGGACAAATGTCGAAGTTCGTCTTTTGCTGCCGCGGATCCTTTTGGACCTAAAGGACGATGAAACATGACATCAGACCGTTCATCAGCAACCGAAGGCCCGATATCCGTGTCAGAGACACGTCGAGGATCGAAATGCTCCTACTATTCATGGAGCTATCTGTCTTGTTCAGCAACAACGCGTAGGTGCTCTGTCACGTTCGAACAGCTGATAGATCCCCAGAGGTAATGATTACATTGAGCAGCAAAACTCGATAGACATGTGTATGCATAGAAATGGCTGTCTGAGTGTCAGACAAGAGTATGAAAAGCAGACGCGGGAACGCACAGACGATATGATTACCGCGCCATCCGGACGATTGAGATAGAGTAGCGAACTAGAGAAGACCAGTAAGATGCTCTACAGAGGAAAGAGAGACGCACGCGCTGTCAAAACTTCCTGGTTCCGTACACAAGAAGTCACCAGGGAAGCACTCGGTCCTCTCATTCCAAGTGACGAAAGCTGATTGGTTCAAATGGGCATTGAGAGAGACCGGCATGCATACGAGCCGTGGATTCCTTCTTGTCTTGGTGGCCGCAATTATCCCTTCCCGCTACTGGAGAGATGAGGGTTCCTTTAAAACGTCGCAACGACGGCGCTGCTTACTAATGTCCCCCGTCAGGCTAGGAACTCCGCTCTTGGCTCTTGTTCCTGCTATAAACCAGTGAAGGCGAGGTTTATCTCTCGAGTGGAAATCATCACGAAAGGCAGGTAGGCGAGTAATTTGTATATGCTGATGGTGGTAGGTGAAGGAAGGGTGACGATTGCTTGGTTGGACTCGGAAGTCTCCGTATCGTTTGCAGACAACGCGTCGACTCCTCGCGCGTCGCCGATGCTGAGGGAAGGTCAAACGTAATTGTATTTTTTTGGTTGGAATGTACCGAAATATTGATGAACGATGCGCAGGGTCCTGACAATTGGATGTCATGGTAGCGAATAAATACTACTGGGCAAAAGTGGGTCCACTTGAGCCAAGAAATAACGAAAGATAACGGACGCACCCATGAGCTATAAGATCGTTCCTTCAACGAGGTCATCAAGGCGCTAGAACGTGGATATCAACATAGGCCGATGCAATGAAGATGGCAACGATGCGCCCAGGAAGATGATGGAACTTGAGCACGAGGGTAAAAAGCAAGAGGCAACGGGCAAGAGATTTTCAAATTTGTGCCTCTTTGATCCTTACCGTCACGTCCACATTTCATTTTGGCCGCGACAAGTCCTACCATATTCCTTGTGTTCTTTCACTACTGAACATTATGGTTCCTATGGTTCCAAAACTCGATATTCGAATATCTGCGGTCCCGACATTGACAGCGACGTCCGACGATGGTGCAGGATAGCCCAAGCAGACTGCCAGTGGTATTGTTGACTTTGTAGGGGAGTAAATCTGCTGGCTACAGGTATGTTGTTGGACCTCTTATCGTGCCTGCCATTGCTCATTGTCACCCCTCGGTTTGTAGACAAAGCTATCTCATTAGCGCAGCGTCTGAAGAGGAGAATATTTCACCAGCATTCATGCAGGGCTCCAACCTACAGGCTATTGACAATCCACGGGATTCTCGACAAGCTATCTTTGCGTTCTCTGTTCCCTAAACCAAGTGGCAAAGCTAGGACAGAGAGGGGATGGCGGTGGAAGCACAGTGACTGCAGCTGCTGTGAAGATAACCCCCCCCCTTGAAGATAGTCGCCTCGGCTTCGCGCGAATGGGACCGGCGATGAGAACGGGCTGGTCTCAAACCTGCCAGTAGCAATCGACATTCTGTAGCAGAAGATAAATCGTTGATACAGGACACGGGGAGCTATCAAGACGCACCGGAGAAACGTTGAGCAGCGCACGACTCCTCGAGCTCCTCTCATGGTTGTATGAATGTTTCTCTATGACCACTCTTCTAGCTGTTTCGGCGGAAACAAAGCTAGGGCGTCCCGTTGCATGTCCATTCTTAGCCTTTGAAGTCGAAAGACACGTTATTTGCTGACATCCTAAATAGCACTGTTGTCGCTGCGGATAGTGATTCAAGATACCTCGGCCAATCCTCAGGAATTTGATTGGGAAGATACCAGTCCGTATATGTGGTGGACCTACGTAGGCGCACCAGGTTCGAATTGGTGGCAGCAAGGAAGGGGAGAAGAAACTCTGCTTCAATTTCAGCGGCAAAGAACTCGCGTGTCCTGGTCGCTGTCATCGTTACCTTCGACCAGATCAATGTTAACGGCGAAGCCAGAGATTGTGATGCGATATGTATATGCGCTTCTCCTCCCACCACCACCATCAACTTCGACTCGTTCCTCAAATGCCAATCACCGCCGCTCAATGCTAGCAGCCTTCCTGTTTTCCTACCATCGGTCTCAAGGTAACCAACAGAGCGCGTTGTCCCTTCCAACCGTCTCTAGAATTTTCTATAGAGGTATCCTTGTCTTTTATGCTGAAAAGGCGCGTCTAATTCCGAACTTACAGACATTGATGTTCGCCATTGGATCTCGTCGTTCTTCGAGAGAGCGACATTGGCACGAAACGGACCCTATCGCTGGAAAAAATACGCGAGAACTTATTCAGTATGCTTCCACCACCACTACTTGCAGCGCTTCACATGCCTCCCTCAGTCAATATACTATCGCATGCATAAATGCTGCAGGCGTCCTGTGATCTAGAGTCAGCAGACCTTGTAAGCACTCAAATTTTCCGCGTTACACATGACGTAAGCGGTACTGTTCTTTGTTTAGCGACCATGATTTCTTTCATTAGTGTATGTGCCCAACTCATGGATCTCACTGCCGGACAAAATGATAGTATGTAATCTTTTCCCTATATTGCTAGCCGTATGACCAACAATCTTCCGTCCATCCCACTACAGGCCTCTTTACTAAGCACCTTAATGTCGCCGTTCGGTCATGCTCGCTATAAATATCAGCATTTGCGTAGGCTATCGGCATGAACGCATGGGAGCGCAGACTCCGGTTCAAGATCACATATAAAGCTGGGAAGCATAGACCTCGTCCTTCACTATCCCTCGTAATGGCTCCCAGAACCCATGAACAATTAGTCGCAAACCAAACCAGACCCCCACCCGCCGTTGTTACCGCCGACCTAAGCGGGAAGACACTCGTCCTGATTGGCGCCAACACCGGTCTGGGATTCGAAGCTGCGAAGCATTTCGCTAGGATGAACCCTGCGCGGCTAGTGCTGACTTCAAGAGACGAAGCAAAGGGGAAGAAGGCTCTAGCCCGCATGTTTCATTCGCTTATCACATTTACAAGCCCGGCTCATCCTGGTATTCTCAGAGATCGAGGAGGACACTGGCTATACCAAGGCGGAGCTTTGGATCATTGATCTCACGAGTTTCAGCAGCGTCATCCCGTTCGCTGACAAGGCCGAACGGGAACTGGGCCGATTAGATATCCTTGTGGAGAATGCCGGTGTCGTAATGTGGGAATACGAACAAGTCGAAGGTTGGGAGAAAACGTATATGGGATCTTCTTCCAGAGGATAAAGGCTTACCATCATCTCAGTATGCATACAAATAACCTCGGTCCCGGCTTACTCGCTATTCGTCTGATCCCCAAGATGCTCGAAACGGCTCGCAAGCATTCCGTCAACCCAAGACTGGTGGTCGTCGCCAGCGACACGCATTATTGGACGTCGATTGAAAAGGACGTCATCGCTTCTCCCAATATCCTCGTGAAGCTGTCAGACAAGGATTATTGCACAAAAGAGTACGTCCAAATCCATATGATCTACCCCTCGCTGTCGCTAACCTGTGAACAGAGTAATGAAACGCCGATATTCTGATACCAAATGTGCGTAACACGTTGACTCTTCTTCACAATGGATGGACCTGCCTCATACCTTCGCCAGTGCTCAATGTTCTCTTTGCCCGCGCTCTGCAGTCCCATGTCCCAACGATCACCGTTAACTCTGTTAACCCCGGGTTCTGTTTCTCGGGCCTCGGATCTGGTGCTCCTCCAGAGGAGGCCGAACGCCTAGAAAAGATGCGAAAAGAGCTAGCGTTCACTACAGAAGAGGGGAGCCGGCAGATAGTATATGCTGCCGTGGGGTCTCCAGATGACGAGGAGAAGCTTCGGGGAAAGTATATTCACTTGTCTGAGGTCGTGGAGGAGAGCGACTTTGTGATCAGCGAGGATGGCAAGATCGTGCAGGATAAGGTTTGGGTGAGTAGCTTTTTTGCCGGGGCCATTTGTGGGGTAGATGGTTGATTTGTTTGTGTTTAGGAGGAGATGTTGGAGATTTTTGGGAAAGTTGATCCTAAGGTCCCGGAGGTGGCTAAAGCTCATCTAGCTAAGGCCTGATATTCGCTAGTTGATGAACATGTAGGATGTAGGGTGATGAGTGATGACGCGTCGATTTGCATCATCATTCTCTTCGTCTGTTTAAGAAAGCGAGCTGGTGTTAATTTGGTTAACCCTATACGTTATTATCTATCATGCATCACTCAGTTTTTCGTCTTACACTATGTCGATTCGATTGTCAGGCCGGTCCGCAACGGCCTATGTCTGGGTGACCTCTCGGTGTTTTATATTGTATATGCACGAATCTTGACTTATTCACGTTGAACTAACATTCTGTATGATTTCGCAAGGGTAGAAAAAACTCTGTTCGCCCTGCTGTTGTTCCTCACAAAGTTTGTAATGTTTTGCTCAAGTCATTCAATCCTTCTCTTTTGCCAAAATCAGACCTGTTTACACTTACTATGCTTGCATGTAATGGATTAGCTACAGTTATCATGACCTACTCTACAGGTGTATTTGTAGTGATGAAAACTGGAAAATGTATTTATGTTCGAGTTGGAAAGAGCATCAAAAGAGAAATAGATGTCCGTGAGCATAATGAAGAACAATATATCTTAAGACAGTAGAGTAGATACAGCATACAAAACAGAGGATGAGGATGGCTATAGCGAGATGGAAAAAGAACTTTTGATAGCAAACAAGAGCTTCTGGTAAATAGTCCAACCAGTGGTAACATAGAGATAGCAAGACAGTGAGTAGTGAAAGGCAAGACAACAAAAGGACAACACGAGCCGCAATTTTACGGTAAAGACAAAATTCCATGTGGTACCTCGACCGACCGGGATCCTTACCACCCCGAGTTCCTCTCCCCCGCTCGAAGACAATCTGGAGCCAGCTATATCATCGGAGAGATCCTGCGCACTCCGCGCTGCGACGTTCTTCCCGATGAAGTGAACACAGGTGCATGTGGTGTTCCAGCTCCCAGGGTGGCGGTGTATGTGTAGATGATACCCAGTGATGGGTAGATGATGAAGCCGCACTGGATGAAGGAGAAAGGAGCCGGGAGGGAGTGATGAGTCGGCAAGCCAGAGCCAGGGGCAAAGGAAACCTGCTAGAGCTTCCACCAGCAGTACGAGCCTGCGATTGCAGCCGTTGAGCGGCGCGCTTCATCCCACAGGTGTCGCGTACCTTCTTGTGGAGCGAGGAATGCCTTGGATGATGTTGAGGTGGCTGCTGTGGGGCACGATACCACTGCGGCCGAGGGCGAGAAGGATCACGACGGGGTTCGGGTTCATGGCTGGGGAACGCCGAAGCGGGTGTGGTAATAAACGTGGGCAGCGTCGATGTTCGAGGCGGAGGAGCGGTGGGCGGGAGCGGGAACCTGTCAAAGGGGGGCGGGGGAAGGCTGAGTGGCACCGGCGGAGGACCGACGATGCCCTCGGGTCCCTTGACGACTTGATGGCAGGGCTTGTGCGGGTCGGTTTGAGGGTAGCGGTTCTGTGTCTTTGTCAGCCGGTGTTCGACTCGTCTGTGCTCAGCGAGTTTGGCGGCGGCCGAGAAGCGTCTGTACATCGGTCTACAGTCGAAGCACATAAGGTGCTCGACTTCGGGGCTGAGATATTAGTGGTAAGTACAGCTATTATAGAAGATGGAACATTGGACGACTCACTGCTTAGCCCGAATGTGAGCTTTTAGGTTACTGAGCTGCAGGCTGCTGAAGGGGCAACCCGACTCAGTGCTCAGGCATGGGAATTTTCTGTGTCGGAACCATTGTCAGAGAAGAAAGAGAAAGATATAAAGCATTTCTGACTGTGTTGTCAAAGGCTCGCCTGTGAGGTGAGTCTTTTCGTGTCGTTGGACGTCGTGCTTCCTCGTCATTTTCACCCTGCATCCAGAATACGTGCAGGCATAGATCTGTGGGTGCTTAGCTTGAAGGCGCTGGAATAAAATAAAGGTAAGTAAAGAAACAGGCGTAAGAGCAAAAATAAATTGTCTGACCGCCATGGGAGGGATCAGGAAGCAAGGGTAGGTGGGAGGAAAATGTCAGAGGGTGTTCTTGCAACGATGCAAGTTGAAGGATGACTTTAAACCTGGTAACCTGTGAACCAGTGCTGGATCGAGATTTTCAGCCATGTTCTCCTGCGGAAGACGCCGTAACGGCTGGTTAAACTGTAATCAAGATGGGAGCAGGACAGAACCACCCAGGAACAAGGTCCGACATTGTCGTTGTTCTGCGAGCGGACACGGGTGCTGATGAACCCTGCATCTCCGTAAAGGGATCGCACTGTGTTTTTCCCGTTCCTCTTGCCTGATTACTGGCCTAACGACTCCAATACTTACAACTACAGACGGAGAGAAACACACTATGAACGGGACGTGAAATGGGGAAAACCCAGAAGAGTGGCTACTACCTGTCGGAGACGATCCTTTTTTGGATACAAAGTAGAGTTTCGTAGCGCGTGCACGCTCCCCGAATTGGCGCAAGATTCATCAATAATGACAGCATCTTTTAAGGGACAAAGTACTCAGACTGCTAAAAAATTCGACGCTCGAGTGACACGTCGACACTTCAGCGAGATTAGTACTGAATGGAAAAAATTCGATACTAAGACCACCTTCTTGTTCGGCACAGAAAGAATTATCATTGTCTGTTATTTATGTTTCATCAGATTCTCCGCAGCCTGTAGCGAGATTGACACTGAAATCTCGATTCGAGTCCTCGTTGATGATCATATCTGAGATTTGAAATATATGAATGCACCAAAAAATTGTGGGTCAGAAGGAAAAAGTGAGCTCAGCACCAAGTAAATGAACCAGGTAATAACTTCCTCCTAGCGCCATTCGCTTGAAGCCGCAGGGAATTGGAGACATCGAGAGGCAGCAGTTGCAGGGTGAAAGTTGCTACGAAGATTGTCGGCTCACGTAATCATCCCTCCTTTTTGCCTTCTTACCACGACGACGACAGATTCAGTAGCAGCTTCGTTGATTCTCGGTGTCGTTGAAGGAGCATATATCTGCTGGTCCAGCCAGGATCCTGGATGCATTACGGCAATATTTTGCCAATGTTTTGATTTTAGCACGTAAGGTCGAATTTTGTTCCCTGTATCCTCTGGATTTTCATGCGGCGCCTCTTTATAAATACCTCCAGAACCTTCATAGCATTTTACTACTAATATTTATGCAGCATTGCGGGCTAGATTGATGGAGATGCAAGGAGATTTTTCCCTCTCTGCGGTATGCTATTTCCCCCTAAGATCTCCTTCTCGATCTTGCATGATCTTTGCAAGGCTCTTGTGAACGTCTAGGCTGAGATCCTTTCAGTACTCGCTATCAATACTTTGGTAAGAGATTTTAGTCTCTACATATACGCTCGAATCATGTTATTAGCATATCCTTCTGATAGACCCACTGTGGACGGGCCTTCACTCCAAACGAAATTCGACAATACTGGTCTCCCCTGCATCCCATACACGCACAAACTTCAAGCCAACCTCCTGGCACAGTTCAATGAAATGCTCCAAAGTGCGCTCTTGACTGTTGAACAAGCACATAACTGCCAGATCCATGTTGTACTGGGTCATGCCCCCCGCACCGTAGTTGGGCAGAAGAGGTTCCGGCGCTAGCTTAAGATCTGATACCGACCCGGGCGTGTTGCCGTCTCTATTCACATGCTGAATGATGTAGTCGTCTGCGACCATAGTCAGCGGCGGAAGACATGGCGGAGAGGAAACGTACTGATTAGCAGACGACTATTCGCCGACATAGCGTTCACCAAATTCCTTAAAATCATTTTGCATTCTTTGTCCGGCCAGTCATGTCTAGAAAAAATGGTAAGTACCCAGCCCAGGCTTCATGAGGATGCGACTAACAAGATATTTTTCAGCTTCGGATCATTATGGTCAAAGGGAGAAACAATCAGCATGAGATGGCGTGCTCACAAAGTACACATCACAACCTTTGACCGGTAATTCCGCAAAGAAATCCATAGCTTTGAATTCTACGCGCCCTTCGCCAATAGCCATTGGGCAGAACTTTGGCCAAACTTCGTTCTTTGCCACTTCGATCTGTGCAGGTACATCTTGAAGCACGATGCGCAGGTTGGGATAGGCATCAACCAACTGCATAGAGACGATGCCGATTCCTCCTCCCATATCGCATACAATGGCACCATCACGAAGATCGCTCCACGGAAATGCATTGACGACAGCTGACGTTTCAAGGAAGTCACCCCATCCTTTCATTCCCTTCCCGAAACGGATGCCTTTCGCAGCTCCGATATCTGTTCCCTATTCTAATTCCGAACACAAGAACCTGAATATCAGTGGAACGCGACACATACCGGACCCTGATACCACGAGAACATTGTTCCAGGATACTTGCTCCAGGAGTTGAAAGGAGTGTGGACAGGCGAATATGAATGTCCCCAATCCGGATCCTTCAAGTTTTCGGTGAGCATGGCGGCCGCTTTGTTTGTCTCGTCTGTTCTGAAGCAGAGATGGATCATGTTGGCGTTTTGTTCTTTCATTCGAGGACCGGACTCACATAAGATCGGAAAAGGCCGATGCACCGTTTGTGCTCAAGAGCATCATGCTGAGTGCTGTTCAATCCTAACAAAAACCTTACGTTTAGCATGGCACGGTTAGGGTGAGCAACGAGAGCGCAGAGCTGAGCGCATGCGCCCTCTATCGTTTGGATGGCTTCTCTCATCTCCGTAGATGATACCTGATCATCTAAGGGATGGGGAGTGGTGTCGTCCAACGAAGGGACGTCAGGTTTAGCCGTCTTTGCGAAGGCATCCTCTACGGATTTGGTGGCGTTTGAGATGAGAGAGACAAGCTGGGACAGCTGGGAAGTCATATTTTGGGTAGGGAATTAGAGTCCCAAAGTCTGTGGCTTATAAGCGCGACTTATCGTCAATATTGTGATGCAATCCCTATATTTGTCGTCAGAAGTAGGTGTTTAGCCAGACTCCTTCCCATCGAGTGCGTCATAGGGGAAGGAAAGCTCCTTCATAGTGCTCTGATTGATTACTTCAACCAGCGTATATGCCGTACGCCAAGCTAGCTGCACCCTCATTGAAGAGAAAGGGAAGCTTCGTCACCTCGTTCTCGTGTCTCGTACATTTCAGAATATCGGCCCATGCTGTGCACACATCTCTGCAATCGGCGTCCGCTACCGCCGAGTAACACTACCTAGCTACCTCACGCAGCAAGGTCCTGGTGGAGGCTCGACGCAGCGCACCAGCGATGCGGTGTTCTTAAGGTGATGTAACGACACGTGAAGCAGCAGGTTAATTGGGTCACTATCATGAGGCTGTATCGCTGTCTTCTGTCGTAAATGCATTGAAAAGTTCCGGCGTAGCTCGTAATTGGTCATAAACCGGACTGGTAACGCACAAAAAAAGGGTATCCGCATAACCATAAACCAGCCATGAATAACCGCCGAAAATGCGACTTCAAGTTTCTACACCTTGGGTAGTAATCAATGAACTTTTGCATATCAAGACTTACATAAGCGACTTCACCTCTCTTCCTACTGAATTCTCCAGGAAGTGGTTGATTCCGAGTCCTATGCTTGTGGACGGTAAAGTGGGCCCTACCTAATTTCAAATTTGACCTTTGCCTTTCTCACCAGTCTACCTACCTTCGCATTCGAAATCCAGTTCTGCACTAATAATTAAGGCTGATCAATGTGAGTGTCGGCATGCTGACCTTGAATACGAGCAGAGTCGCGAGTACCACTGAGGACTAGTGGAAGAATACCGCCTCGTCACGATAATGGGGTCATTGGTCAGAGAACAGACCGTGATGTTCGACGTTGGAACATGGGATCCAAGGGCAGAGTATGTGTTACACCTGGTCGTTTATTCCCTTCTGATAACACTCATCCATCAAAGTATATAACGTCGCCCCGTATTAGGTGTCAGGGAGCTTCTGGATCTCGGCAAGTTTCTCAGAGGTGGGGACACCTGGTGGACAATCTTTCATATAATCTCCGATACACATGATGCGACAGTCCACCCACCGTGACGAGTCCGCCAAGAGGTGGGAGGATATCGGCAAAATAGTGGGGAATTGAGAAGAACTCGTCCAGTTCGCCCAAGTTGTCGAGATGCCCGCGTCTATCCATGTCGATGATTTGCCAGTATTGACCCATCGGTTTCGAGGGTGAAGGGAAGAGGAGGCAATTGTCTTGCGAGTAGCCTGAACCAGATTTACAACGCACGTCAAGAGATAATTTAACTGCTGCTGACGCTCTTTAAATTTGAGCGTGTGCACATCGAGTGATCGTCACTCCGGTGTTCATCCGTAGACGACGATGCTAGGAGACTTCCGAAAAGGCATCGAGTTCGGGTCGTGCTATATTTGAGACTAGCTGCTCCAATAATAGTCGTAGGCAGGCTGAGCAACCGCGGCAGGTTCTTGGCAGGTTCTCGGCAGGTTCCTGTTCTGTTCCTTGTTCGCAGAAGTTATCATCTTACTCCACGGTGTAATTCTGCGCATAAATGACCGATAAATTTGACTTCCGGCACACATTGCCCCGCTAACACGTAAAGAAAACGAGAGTGAAGCCTTGAGGACCTATTTCGACCCGAAAACCTGGTATATGTTCATCTGCGTCGGACGGCCCATAGATAATGAGGTGAAGGTGATCATGCTAAATGGATTCTGAGATACTCACAATTTCTCATCCTCGTCATACTCTGAAATGACAATCATGGGTGTGACAAATTTCTCGTCATCATAAGAACCCTCAACATCGCTACTGTCTGGTGGGCGGAAGACCAGGAAAACGACGCTCAAGGCCGCAGAGACCACAAGCGTGCACAGAGTCGTGAGCGCTAAGAGGAAGCACGGCGAAATGAGGGCCTGTGGGTAGACAAGGACGAGGAAGAGGAGGACTGGGTAAGCGATGAGGATGATGAGGAGGGATTCTTGGATGAACGCGTGGGCTGAGTCGACGGCCGTGGCAGGCATGATGGCGACTGTTAAAGAGCGTATAGCGCCGTCGAGAGCGGCGGGGCGATGGGCGTAAGGAAGGAAGAAGGTGACAGGAGTTCCAGGGTCCTTTTAGGAGGATCGGACCGAGCTGCCGCCCTAGACTTGAAATAGTCATTGACGACGGGCTTATCGCTGCTTGGCAGGAACGCAAGGCACATTTGCAAGAGGAGCGGTGATGCCCATATCGGGATGACGGATCGAATTAGGCTTGCAATAGCTGCCTTTTTTTGCCTCCCGCTAAGAGACCTGGAGGACTCTAAGAGCTCATTAATGCTCAGTACCCATTACTTCAAAAACTATTCAAAGTAGCGACACAACTTGGCTTGCGCTGGATACAAAGGTTCTTGCTGTCCTCTCTGAAGATCGTTAGAAGACCCCCACTTCTATCCACGCTTATGAAGCCCGCTCAAAATGCTAGTCTCACCGATTCCGGGAGCTCATAACAAAGAAGAGATTGCCATCAATAATGAAGACTCTACGGAACTCTTCATCTGCATGGACCAGCCTAGAAATAGATATCGACGTGGCGACTACCACCCCACTCAGGTTGGCGACGACTATGCGATCGGAAGGTACACCATCACCGGAAAACTGGGATGGGGAGAATATTCAACAGTCTGGATCGCACGCGACAATGAAGCAAATATGCAAGTCTGAACTTTGTGTATGACTTTGTGACTAATACCCTACGCAGCGATGCGGCTCTCAGGATCATGACTGGCGCGCGCCTGAATAATTTCATCTCCTTACTTTTGTGCTGATACCTAATCAGACGAGGCAACACAAGCGCCAGAACTCCACGAGCTCGAGTACATTCAACACTTGCGCCGCCAAAACCCCACGCCCGGATACCCGCACGTCGTCCACCTTACAGACTCGTTCTACATCGACGACACCTATGCGTCGTAACCGAAATGGCCCTATGCAATCTTCCCTCTCTGGTAGAGCAATCCTTTGCTGGCTACAGAATCCCAGAACACGGTGCAAAACACGTCATACGAGACGTGCTCTCCGGCTTAGACTACGCTTACAACGATTGCAACATCATATACACAGGTAGGCCCTTCGTTTTTTTTTTCCTTCTCGTGCTAGTATTAACATTTGCATAGATGTCAAAATCACCAACGTCGTGACGACAGTCCCACAAGACGCGCTACCCAAAGAGGGTTTGGGGCACTCTAATCTCTGCCCAGCAGCACACGTTTCCAGATACCGATGGTACACCAGTCACGATAACAGAGAGCCCCAATTGTTCCCAAACTTGATCCAAAGGCGTGGGGTGAGCTTAGCTTCAAGTTGATAGGCTTTGGTGTCGGTTACTGTATCGATGTCGTCCACTCCTTTCGAGTTACGCTAACGTACACTCGGAAGCTTGCTACGCGGACAAAACCGACGAACACTTTACCCAGGAAGTTTGTCCTGTCGCTATACGTCCCCCCAGAGGTGGCTTTACGTGCTGGCTAGTGCACGTCGGTTGATATATGAAGCGCCGGGTGCATGGTACCGTCTTTTGCTATCCTGTTGAAAAATGCTGATTGTGTAGCTGTATGGCATGTTCGTTGGGAAGCCTCTGTTCCACCGTTCGGTGTGATTCACTGCTTCTCCCCGCCTACCAGATGCAGGCCTTGGGCGAGTTCCCCACGAGCCTTCGGAATCGCAGTCGATTGAGCAAGGCGTGGTTCAGCAACGATGGTGAGACCGAGTTTTGTGGTCTCCGAGTTCGTGTTCAGCTCCTTGTGCACAGGTACCCTTCGACACAAAGATGTATTTCCCAAGAAGTCTTTGGAAGCTTTGATAGAGGAGCAGAGTGGTGGCGCTGTGATATTGTCGCTGGATTGTATGGATTTTATGCGTAGGACGTTGACTATCGAGCCGAACGAACGTTCGAGTATTGAGGAGTTGTTGAGCCATTGGTGGCTCAATTCTAACTGAGATGTTCCATGTTATATATCTATACGATGGAGCGGGTCTCTACATACTTTTCTCACGAAGCAAAGATCTATTGGGCGAAGGAGTATGGTCGTAATACATCCACATCACGTATGATCGTCTGTTGCTCCAATTCTATGAAGACCATTCAGAGCAGCTCAAAAAAAGGTACGACCACGAAACTGCGTAAGTTACCTTGAAATTGAATGCGAACTCGTCCTCTGCAGCATCGACCCTTGGAGGATGACGTCTCTGCGGACTCTGGATGATTTGTCGTGCTGGCTCTTCGAGTGCCATAATTCCTGGAGCAGGATTTGGGATGGAGAACATGCCGAATTTGACTCACCCCTAGCTGGCGTAGCATATGGATTCAAGAAACAGACGGGAGCCAAACATAACGTTCACAAAAACGAGCGCCCTTTGGTTCTGCGGAAGTATCTACAGCACTCCCTTCAAGTGGTGAGTTACCTGCGCGAGTACATTGTCAGTGCATGGATGCACCAGCCCTGGGTGTGCAACAATTGACGACAGCCACAACAAGGATTCCATGACGTGCCTGTTATAGGAGCCGAATTTGTTCTCCAGCACCTCCACGCTACCCATCCAGGTAGTTCTGTCGTGCCATCGTCGGCCGTCGTCAAGATTCGACGAGGGAACTAGTAAGTAACCAGCGGGATCCTAAACGTTGAGTATATGCGCAAAATCAGCTGTAACGGAGTACCAGGGATTAGCGTGGTGAAAATAGACGCGATAGTACGAAGCAGACTGAAAGGAAAATCAATTGAATTTCAAAATCAAATCTGCCTTCTACTTCTTTATCTCGTTATCGTTTTCCTGGACCACCGAAATTTTCGCTCGGCAGTAGATATGAGCACTGAAGAACCTCTGGAACACAGTGAGCACGTGTCGTCATCTAACGCCGCTTAACGCATGTGTGTCAATGCGAACAGCGGATTTTTGATCTAACAGTTTCTTTCCCTCCGATTTCGCCCCAGCACCGAGGCCGCATCCATCCGAGTCGCGAGGACTGGGTCGCTAATACTCCGGAAATTTTTATGCGCCGTTTTGGTAATGGCGGATGGATCGGGGGCCAGGCGATAAGGACACTGCCTTTCGAAGGGCCAGAAAAGGTGGGAAGGTAAATCTGATTATCATGGCCGTGGATGCATCCGAGTCGGAAGACAGGGTGGGAACATTTTCTCTGCTGTTTTCGTAATCAATGGATCGAGGGCGATACGGATATTGCTTCTGGCAGAGATGGACTGGTAACATCTGACTATAATGGTCGTGGACTCGAGCTCCATCTTTACTGGATGATGTCTCAATTATGATCTTTCAGTCTTGAGGCATACTTGGCTGAATTTGTAGTGGCATGAACATACTAGAAGCCGTGGACTAGTCTGTTCCTTACAGCTGTTTGGATAGAGTTTGACAGTGACACGCTTTTCGTGAAAGAAGAGAGCCGGAGTCCGAGCCTTCTTTCATCAGCTACATGCCGTCTTCCTTTCCTTCATCACACCATCCGAAGCAGTGCTAAAATTGTCTTTCCAGTTTTCAAAAATTCAAAGTCAATGGATCCCGCCACCTGGTTAACAAGAAACTAGCAGGAGCGTTGAGTAGAAACTGAGGTGAGGTTATTGAGGGATGCGCACCAAAATGAAGTTCATTTGATGGCCAAAGTTGGAATGGTCTTCATCTGTATAAAAATGCCTCAGTGTCATATCTTCACTTCTTGATATGTTATCTTCTAGCTGCTCATATCGCACTAGTCATTCCGACAGTAACGTCGACGTAACACCGTCCAGCCATTGCTTACGGGACAAGGGCACAAAGCCTACGCGTTTAATGGTCTGAGTTTGCCGTACTCCTCATCTGGGATGGGTTTTGCTTGCGTGTCAGCTCAGAATCTCTAAGGCCAGTGACGTAATGGCTTGATGGCCATTGATGTTCACGTCATTGACTGCGGCAATCGAGATCGCTTGTTAGGTTCTGTCGTAGTGTGCCTCATGTTCAATTGAACTTCTAAAGAGTCAATTGCCCCAGGCAAGCGTTTTCGCATGCCCATTCATCATGTCACCTCGGCACGAAGTAACTTACGGCATTAATTAAAATCAACACGTCCGTCCCGTTACAAGCCTGCTCAAAGAGTAAGCCACATTTCTTCCCGAAATATCATATGCTAATGGTAACACACCAGCCAAAGATTTCTGCCTAATAATTTAATTCCTAAGGCGGATATTGATATGGTCTCCGCAACTTGTCGACAGCTTATTCCTTCAGGAAAATTGAACCCATTGTCATTCCGACGATTGTAAATGTATAAAAGTTCAGAACATATCGCGATTACAGAAACATCAGCTTCCCTTGGCAGCATGGACACTCAATCTGACGTTGTATTCCGCATTCCTGATACCCTCGCTTACTGGCCATGGCCACGAAATAACAATCCTCATTACGAGGAAGTAAAGGCTGTGTCGAATACTTGGTTTCGGTCGTTAAAAGCATTTCGGCCAGAAGCTCAGCGGTAGGCTCCCAGGTACCTCCGTTTTTCCCCGCTCATTGCGCATTTCCAGAGCATATGAGCGCTGTGATTCTAGTATGATATTTCCTCTAAAGTCACAGTATATGGTGATTACTGACGCCGACCCAAGGTTTGTTGGCTTCACTAGCATACTCGACAGCAACAAAGGGTACGGAGTTCGATCCCTGGTCCATTTGCTTCTAATCCCCTTTCATAGAACATCTTCGCACCGGATGTGATCTGTTCCACGTAGTGTTCGCTTTCGACGAGTATACTGACAGTGCACCACCCGAAATTGTCCGACAATACGCAGATATCGTTATGGACGCTATTAAAAACCCTTCCAAACCGCGACCTACTGACGAGGTCGTTCTTGGGGTCATTGCACAAGAGTACGGGTATTTTATTTGCATGCCAAGGTGATTCTGACCATCAACTACAGGTTCTGGGCTCTTAGTGTAAAGTCGGCCAGCAATACATCTCAGAAGCACTTCATTGAAGGTTTTGGGAATTATGTGGCTGCTGTGGTCCAAGAAGCAAAGGATCGGCACCATCATCATATTCGGAATGTCGAAGATTACTTTGATATTCGTCGTCAGACTGTCGGTGCCTACCCGTCGTACGCACTGTTAGAACTTGGCTACGACTTGCCTGACGAGGTGTTCAACCACCCAATTGTCGTCGCTCTGCGACGTCTGGGCGTCGATATGATAATTTTGGATAATGTAGGCTTTTCTAGATTTTCGTCCTCTTCCAACGCTCATCATGTTCCTAGGACCTCGCTTCATATAATAAGGAACAAGCCTTGGAAGAGTACCCTCATAACATTCTGACGTCTGTCATGAACGACCGGAACTGCGACCTTCATGATGCACTCTCCTGGGTGGAAGATCGTTATCGGTTGACCAGGAATACATTTCTGAGGCTGTGGACGGAGATACCATCGTGGGGACCTGAGACCGATGCCACTGCATCTCTCTACTTGCATGGCCTCGCAAGCTGTGTCCGGGGTAACGAATGTTGGAATTTCGAAAGTGGGCGGTACTTTGGATCCAGCGGCAGAGCGGTTCAACAGCATAGGATGGTTACTCTTATGCCCAAGCAGCTTTCAGCAAGCGAGCCACTTCTCGTACACGCATATTAACCTCTTTCGTGGCTCACTATTCCATCGTGCTGCTTTATGCAGTCCCGAACGCCTTGTGTACAAATTCTCAATAATTAAAAGTTTCATATATAAGGATTGTCCTCTTCTGTCTGCTCGAGAGATCATGTTTTGTGGTGTGCTGGATACTATGCTACTTAGTACTTATCCGGAGGAAACTGAAACGCACTTTACTTGAGAATCAATTGAGAGTACTGCAAACACTTTACCAGGAGGCTTGTCCCATCCGCATATGTCCTCCAGAGGCGGCTCTACGTGCTGGCAGGAATAAATCGGTTGATATATGGACCGCCGGCTGCATGATAGTACCGTCATTTTTACCTCCCCTTGAAAGATGCTAACTGCATAGTTACATGGCATGCTTGTTAGGAAACAGTGGAGTAAATCGGTCGATACCTGAAATGTTGTATATTGTATTGTAGGTCTTCTCACTTGTGGACCCATTCCGATCTTTCATCCCGAGATATGTAGTGGGACGGACTCGTTAGTAGACACGAGAAAATAAATAACTTTGAGAAGTGTATTGGAAAGGAAGAAAAAAAGTGATAGCATGCATACAATAGTAATTGTACTAATACAGTGTAGCATCTGCAACTGATGGTCTGTATATTAAAACCACCTCAAGGTGAAAACAAGAGTCTCAAGGAAAACCAATTAAGAGTAAGGCATTGGAGTCTATCTATGTTCACTACTTACCTTCACACCAAACCAGATATAGATGTCAAAGTTTTCAAAAAATGAAATGCATCAGTTTGGGTCCTCCATCCACTGAGAAGCAGAGAAGGGACCTGCAGCTCTGAGAAAATCAGCTGAATTCTACTGGCATGGCCATGAATTGTTAACCCACCATGACAGTAATTGTCTGTACAAAAAACCACAAACACTCATCCCTCCTGCTCCATCAAATGAATGCTCTCTCTACTCATTCACCACTTGATCACTCCATTATGATGAAAATTGATTGCAAGTGCCACAGTCAGTATATGCAGTGGTGCCAGTCTTGCAACCTCTAGGATATCATCAATCCAGAATAACAGGTTCTCCACTGTGGACACCCTGGAATTGTAGAAAGCAAGTGCCATTATATCCAGACTTGATGAGCATGGATACACCTCAACAGGCATGCTGACCTCAAAGATCCCAAGATAGCAAGGCAATGCAAGAAAGACAGGAAATGGTGATGTGCTTGGTAATGGCTAAGTGGCTAAGAGAAGTGAATAAGGAGTGTACTCTCAACACTAATATCTAACCACTCAATACATTATCACCAAATACAATTGAGGTTAGTTGTTTCAAGTATGATAGAAGCACTCTGCAGTCTTGAATAAAGCAAGAGAACAGTTGATAAATATGGTTATTCAGTCTTATCTTGCCTTCTAAGATGCAATACTCATGAGAGTAGTTTATCATGATTGTTAAGTACAATTAAGACTTAGAATTGATGCACAATTGCACTCCAAATCAACTTAGAATATTCTGAAACCCAAATACTAAGTCTATCAAGCACTTAGGCTTGACTAGCTGCACTCTTGGCAGGCTAGCAGTCCTCAAAACTGAAGAACTTGTATTCTGACACTGAAACCCTTATAGTTTGGAACTCAAATTAATCTAAAACCCAAAATACAGTTAATATTCCAGTCCTATCCTGTTATGCTACCACAAAATAATCACCAATGTCTGGCACTGCTTCCACCAGAGTCCAAGTCTGGATTGCACTGTTGCTGTTGATATAGAAGTATGATAAGAATGATGAGACAAGCAATGAGAATATGAGGAAGAGAAATGAATTGGCAAGGCTGGTAGAATATGTCCACCAGTGTGGCAGTGGTATTCATACCAGACAGTCAAAGAGTTTAGTAAGTATATTAAACCTTAGCTCAAGACTGAGATACATTGCTGTAAGATACTGTCTCTAAATACTTTTGTTGGATTAGCAAGCAGGAGCTCCATCATATTCTGCCGGCCAAGCTCAATACTCCTTTATGTCGGGATGGACTATATATATTGAATACAGTCTGTCAAGCACCCTCACCATGTTTCTGCTTATCACTACACTGTGTGAGGGTGAGTATCTACTTATATTACTTCATTTATGTCACTGATTGGTATTCTGTAGTCTACATTATAGCTAACAGCATACTCTATTAGGTGCTACAAACATGCATCACTTTCTTAGAGATTATATGGCCCTGAGAATTACTCTATCCCATCCTTCATACTCAAATGACTTCTGCCATTGCTGCCTTGACTACAGGCCTACCATCAAATGTCTCCACACTGAACACATCTGATGACAACTGGTCCATCTTCTACCTCTGCTTTTCCACTGGTGTTCAAGCCAAAGGGAAATGGGATCACTTCGATGGATCCAAGCCCAAACCCTCTCTCACTGCACCCACAACAGCTCTCATGGCTGAGCTAGATGAATGGGAGAAAGATGAGGCTGTAGCCAAGAACCTCCTGCTCTCGAAGATCTCTGACTCAGTTGCTATAAAGATTCAGCATCTTCTCACAGTTGCTGTAGCCTGGTCAAAGATTGAAAAAGAGTTTACTGATAAAAGCAGCTATGCACAAACCGACCTTCAGCAGCAGTTTATGGAGTCACATTGCCTGGCCAAAGGCAATATTCATGAGTTTCTTGACAGTCTGTTAATGAAATAGGAGTCATTAGCTTCCATCAGTGTCATCATCAAGGAGAAGAATTACCGCTCAACAATTCTCACCTCTATCTCTCCCTATCTTGCTAAGCATGCATTGACTCTCCTTATGGCCGCAAAGCTTTTTAGTTCCAACAAGAAAGTTGATCCCAAGAACCTGATCTATGCCATTTCTGAGGAATATGACCAACTGGAGCATGAGCGAGCCAAGCGTAGTCGGCAGTCTGAAAAGGGAAAGGACTTGGAGCAAGATGAAGCCATGTCTGTTTCATCAAGCTCAGGTGGCAATAAGAAGGGCAAAAAACCCAGCAAGAAATTATGCTGGGGATGTAGAAAAGAAGGACACTTCAAAAACAAATGCCCTGAGAAGAAGTCATCAGACAATGACAGCAAGGCCTCTAGATCAAAGGGTGAAATAGCCAATGTGGCTGAGGAATCGTCAGATTCAGACTGGGAAGACGGCAGTGCATTCAGAGTTGATGATGCTAATGACATGCTATCGCTGACTGCAGTTTCTGAGTCAGACAAGTCTGAAGTTGAGGGCTTATCAGAGAACTCAGAGGATAAAGACAATGGTACTGACCTTTTTTCAGAGGTTGATGATGAGTCATGGGATGAGCTGAGCAGCACATTGTTCTCAGATGTTGACTGGAGTGATGTGAACTCCTTTGTTGACAAGCAATTGGATGCCACATCTGGCATGCTGACTTTGGAGGATGTATCTGCTTCTGAAGAGTCAGTTGCAGCTGTTACCAACACTGTAAACTCACCCAATGTTCAAATTCATACTGAACTCTATGACTCTGGCTGTACATGCCATATTTCCCCTTACCATGATGATTTCAACTCATTCCAGTCTGTTCCACCCAAAGCATTCTATGCTATGAACACTCAAAAATTTTCTGCAGCTGGAAAGGGTGTGATGAGCATTGATATGCCAAATAGTGCAAATGCGAGCAATCTGCAACTCACTGAGGTCATGTACTCTCCTGAAGTTGGCTATACACTCATTTCAGTTGGCTGACTTGACAATCTTGGTTTCAAGTTGACTTTCGGTGGCAGAAAATGCACCATCCATGCACCAGATGGAAAGGTTGTTGGGATTGTCCCAAAAGATGATGGTGGCCTATATTGGATTTGTCATGAGAGAGATTTGGCTGGGACAGCTGAGGAGATGCTTACTCTAGATCAATTGCACTGCTGCATGGGCCACATTTCACCTGAAGTTGCTCACCATCTGGTTGAAAAAGGCTTCATGACTGGAGTAAAGCTTGACAAGTCATCTGGAGAACCACGGTTCTGTGAGTCATATGTCTATGCTAAAGCTACACAAAAGCCAGTGTCTAAGGCTCAAGGGGAAGAATATGCAACCAATATTGAAGATGAAATTCACTCTGATTTATGGGGACCTGCACCTGTAGAATCCCTGCATAAATGCTGTTACTTCATCTCTTTCATTGATGACAGCACTTGTTGGGCTTACCTTGAATTCTTATGCCAGAAGAGTGAAGCTTTCACAGTGTACAAAACCTATGAAGCTTGCATCCACACTCAGCATGACCACCCTGTAAAAATCCTCTATTCAGACCATAGAGGTGAATACTTTGACAAAGTGTTTGTCTTGCATCTGAAAAATGCTGGCATGGCAAGAAAGATGACTGTGCATGATATGCCACAGCACAATGGAGTGGCTGAAAGGTATAATTGCACAGTTATCGAAAAAGTCAGGGCTATGCTACATTCAAGTGGCTTATCTCACTTCTTATGGGCTGAGGCTGTTCGCCATGCTATCTGGGTCCTCAACAGAACATCGATAAAGGCTCTAGATAGAATGATTTCTTATGAAGCTGTCATAGGGAAGAAGCCAGATCTAAAAGGGTTGTGGGAATGGGGAGAGAAATGCTGGGTACACCTTGAGACTAAGGCTATGAAGCTGAATGGCCACATATATAAAGGTTGGTGGATTGGATTTGATGAAACAAGCAATGGATCCCATGTCTACTGGACAGAGAGCAAGATGGTGTCCATCAAGTGAAATGTCTATTTCGACACAACTCATATTGCCACTGACGATCTTGAAGAGGAGGAAGACATTGAGCTACACAAGATTCTGTCAATGCCAAAAACTCAGTCCAATCCACCTACTGCAAAGCCATCACAGGTGTCACCTACCCCCAAAGTCCAGCCTACAGTCCAATCCATAGTTGAAGAAACCCATTCCAGATGCACTCAAAAGCCTAGCCAGCAGGTGCTGGACCTCATCTCTGGCAAAGGCAGTGTATCGGCATGCCCAAGCAATCTTGTAGTATCTGTTGGTGTTCAGTT